AGATCTGAACACTTAAATTTGGCCTTATCTACACCATGCTCTAACCAACTGAACTAACTGGCCAACCCCCTATTCAGCATATTAAAGTGAGTACTATTTTTATGTGCATTTTTCCCCCAGTATATTGCCACCTACTATTTTGTGAGTCCTCACTAAGAAAAGGCATATGGACACCAAGATAGACCCAAACTTCCCAGCAAACCATCTTCAGTATATCTATTACACCCATTTTTTCTTGCATGTTTACATTTTTTTCACTTCTAATCTAGAACATGCAGGACTTACCAATAAAAAGCTATTCCTGATCTCTTAACACATCTCCTATTTTCAACTCATCAGCAAGGCAAACATGAATGAGCGTAAATAATGATTCTATTGGTGAATCTGCTGATCTCTCTATGGAAAATGGAGTTATGCAATGACAAATTATCTAAATAAACAAAGAAAATTAACTTAATTTTATTTTCTTTATTACTAGCATATTCATCATTACAAACCATAATCCTTCCCCACGCCTTCCACCTGACTTATCACTCCCCAAATCCCCTCCCTCCCTCCACCCATTACTAGTACCTTTGGGTTTGTTTTCTCCTTCTGTAAGTTCAACTAACTACTGTGGTTCTTTCTTTCTTTCTCTCTCTCTCTCTCTCTCTCTCTCTCTCTCTCTCTCTCTTTCTTTCTTTCTTTCTCTTTTTTCTTTCTCTTTTTTCTTTCTCTTTCTTTCCCTCCCTCCCTTCCTCACTCCCTCCTTCTCTCCCTTCCTCCTTCCTTTCCTCCTTCCTTCCTTCCTTCTTCTTTCTTAGCACCCAGTTATGATTGAGAACATGTGGTATTTTCTTTTTGTGTCTGCTTATTTCACTTAACATAATTTTTTCCAGGCTCATCCAGGTTGCTGCAAATGGCAGAATTTCATTCTTTTTAATGGCTGAGTAGAATTCCATTCTGTATATACTACATTTTCCTTATGCAGTCATCTGTCAATGGACATTTAGGTTGGGTCCATAGTTTGACTATTGTAAATAGAGCTATGAGGAACATGGGAGTGCAGGTATCTCTTCGACATGACAACATCCATTCCTTTTGATATATACCCAGTACAGGGATTGCTGGATTATATGTTAGTTCTATCTGTAGTTGTTTGAGGAATCTCCATACTGTTTTCCATAATGGCTGTGTAAATTTGCATTCTTACCAACAGTGTAGAAGAGTTCCCCTTTGGCCACATCCTCACCAGCATTTGTTATTCTCTGTCTTTTTAATAATGGCCGGTCTAACTGGGGTGAGATGATATCTCAATGTGGTTTGGATTTGCATTTCCATGATGATTAATGATGCCTAGCATTTTTTCACATATCTGAAAAATGTATGTTTTTGTATGTATGTTTTCCTTTGAAAAATGTATGTTTTCCTTTGAAAAATGCCTATTCAGATCCTTTACCCATTTTTTTTAATTGGATTATTTGTTTCTTGTTTTTTTGTTTGTTTGTTTTGTTTTGTTTTGTTTTTCTGTATAGTTGTTTGAGTTCCTTATATGTTCTGGATATTAATCCCTTGTCAGATGTATACTGTGCAAATATTTTCTCCCACTCCATAGGTTGTCTTTTCACTTTGTTGATTGTTTCCTTGGCTGTTCAGGAGATTTTTAGTTTAATATAATCCCATCTGTTTATTTTTGTTGTTGTTGCCTGTGCTTTGGGGGTCTTATTCATGAAGTCTTGCCCAGTCCTACTTCCTGCAGTATTTCCCCTAGGTTTTCTTTTGGTAATTTTATGTTTTCAGGTCTGATATTTAAGTCTTTATTACCTTTTGAGCTGATTTTGGTATATGGTGGGAAGTACAGGTCCAGTTTCATTCTTCTGCACATGGATGTCCGATTTTCCCAGCAGCATTTATTGAAGAGGCAGTCTTTTCCCCAGTGTTTGTTCTTGTTGCCTTTGTCAAAGATCAGTTGGCTGTAAGTATGTGGGTTGATTCCTGGGTTTTTGATTCTGTTCCACTGATCTGAGTGTTTGTTTTTATGCCAGTACCTTGCTGTATTGGCTACAGAAGCTTTGTAATATAAGTTGAAGTCAGATAGTGTTATGCTTCTGGCTTGATGATGATGATGATGATGTTGATGATTGATGATGATGATTTTGCTCAGGATTTCTTTGGCTAGTAGGGATCTTTTGCTTTTCCATATGAATGTTAGGATTGCTTTTTCTATTTCTGTGAAGACTGTCATTTGTATTTTGATGGGGATTGCATTCAATCTGTAGATCACTTTGGGTAGTATGGCCATTTTCTCAATATTCATTCTTCTAATCCATGAGCATGGTATGTCTTTCCACTTTTGTGTCTCCTCTTTAATTTATTTCAGTAGTGTTTTGTAGTTCTTATTGTAGAGATCTTTCACTTCCTTGGTTAAATTGATTCCTAGGTATTTTATCTTTTTAGTGGCTATTGTAAGTGGGCTTGCTTTCTTGATTTCTTTTTCTGCTAGTTTTTNTAGGCCCAGGGCTGGCTCAGCCCCCTGGAGCAGAACGGACAGGCCTGGCTTGTGGTCCAGCCTGGCCTCCCTGGGGCCCCCTGGCCCCCCACGCCTGCCTTCTGATATTCACCTGATTCTCTCTGCTTCCCTTACAGAAAGCACTCCGATCCGAGGTAAGAGGCTCTTTCCTCGCTCCCCCACCCACGCACACACTCTCACTGACTGCCCTGCCCCCCAGGCTCCACAGGCCCCCCTCCACGTGTCTCCTCGCCACCCTGCCTGGTGTCTGTCCCGTCTCTGTGTCTCTGTGGCTGTGGGGCTGAGTGTGGCAGTGGTGATTCTTTAGCCCACCTGGCTATGGGGAGGGAGATTTCTCCTCTCCAGGAAGGACACTGCGTCCCACGCCCACCCAGAGCGCTGGGAACCAGGTGTCTGACCAGTGCTGTATGCAAAGCCCTCGTCCATCTCCAGCTTCGGCTTTGCTATCCGTAAAATGAGCACACAGAGGGGGCCTTCAAGGGAACAGAGAGACAGGCATTTTCAAAGGCCAGCTCTGACTCTGCCCCCAGCCCTCATTCCGCCAGTGCTGCCCCAGAGAATGGGCCTGGGTGGGAGCCCTGGAGAAGAATCAGTGTCCAGTCCTATCTTTACTGCAAAATGCTGTGTGACCTAGAGCAGGCTCCCTGCCCTCTCTGGGTCTTCATAGTGATACCTGCCTGCTTCCCCAGAGTCATGAGGTCAGGGGAAAGTAGGAAGCGTTCCATGGGGGCAGAGCCATCATCCACAGCCCCCAGGGAGAACCTCCCCATCTGTGGGTCCATGTTACTTTTGTGGGACAACCACTAACAAAGCTGGGGAGCTTAGACTGGATGTTTGGACTCCTGGTGCATTGGCTCTGATCAAAGCCTGTGATTCAAACACACTTGGGGATAGTCACTCATCCTCCTTTACTCATGGTTAACAGGCACTTGGGTCCATGCCTGTGATTCAAACATACTTACACACATTCACTCGGTTTTATGTACTTATGAGAATGAAGACTTTGATCCCGCCTGTGATTTCAAACATACTTGTGGAAACCTTTGCCTCATTTTTTATTCGTGGGTGCTGAAGTATGTTATCGACCCCATAATCTCAACGTACTCAGCTTCATTTACTTGTGAAAATGAGGACTTTTTCCAGGCTTGCGATTTCAAATATCCTTGGGGAAATCTTGGCCTCATTTTCATGTACTCGTGAGCGCTTTAGTGTTCGATTGAAGCCTGTGATTTCAAATATTCTTGGGAACATTCCTACATTTTTATATGTTATGGGAAGTGAAGTCTGTGGTTTGCAGCATATTGAGGGGAAATCACCCCTATTTTCATATACTTGTGGGCACTGAGACCTTGGATTTGTGATTTTAAACATACTGAGTAAATTGGCTTCTTTTTTAATGTCTTTATTCACTCATCACCAACAAATTCTTTGATCCAGGCTTGTGATTTCAAACACACTTGGGGCATTTTAATGTCCGCTTTATTTGTGAATGTAAGAGGCTTTCAATCAGCCCTCTGATTTCAGACACTTTTGAAAATTCAGTCTAATCCTCACGTATCCATGAGCATCGTGGAGTTGGGTCTAGGACTGTAATTTCAGACGCACTTGAGGAAGTTCATTCACTTATTCATGAGCCCCAGGATCTTGAATCCAGATCTGTGGTTTTAAACATAGGTGGGTGAATTTAGACCTATTTGCTTAGATGAATTCAAATACCTGGTGAAATTCTAACTCCTCTTCAATGAGTTTCAGGCACAGAAGACTTTGATTCAAGCCTTTGATTTCAAACGTGCTTAATGCATATTCATTTCAACATCCTTTACTTTAGCTGTTGTGGGGTGTAACCCTGTCCTGAAATTCCAAACACCCTTCAAGAAGTACAACCCTGTCTTCGTTAACTTACAGGCACTGAGAGCTTTGAGGCCTGTGATTCCCAACACACTTGTGAAACCCAGACCCGTGTCCATTGACACCTGGGCTCTGCTCAGAACCCACAAGCCAGCCACCAGCTCCCCGAACTTGTACAGTACGTGTGGTGGCTGTTTACGTCCCTGCTTCTCTCAGATGAATGTTATGGGTTGTGAATGCCAACTCATTTTCCTCTTGGCCTGGGGAGCATCACTTAGTGCTTTGGCAAACACACCCCCATGGCAAACACACCCTCATGTCACACACTCTTCCCCAGCTTTGTCATTTAACTTGGCAGTCATTTATGAGGACCACCTGCGTGACCAGTTGCTTTTACAGTAGAACTGGAGGATTTGATGGGGAGTCCGGCGTGTCCAGGCTAGCACAGGGATAGGCTGGGGGGGGGGGGATATCAGCCAGGGAGCCCCCAGCCCAGCTGGGACTTGTAGGCGAACTCACCTCTTGTGTCTGCTTCTCTGGCCCAGCCAGAACAGGAGACAGGCCAGACAGGACTCTGGGACAGCCCTCCCTGCCCACCCTCAGCCCCCCTCTGACTGGCCAAGCTTTCTCTCTCTCCCTACAGGAGCCCTGCAGATCGAAAGCAGCGAAGAGACTGACCAGGGCAAATACGAGTGTGTGGCCACCAACAGTGCCGGTGTGCGCTACTCGTCACCCGCCAACCTCTACGTGCGAGGTAGGGAACGCCGTATCCAGGTCAAAGGCAGGGACCCGCCCCATCCTTTTCCCCACCCTGTTCGGGCTCACAGCCTCCGGGCTCCTCCGTCCCCTGCAGACCCCGGCTGCAGTGGGACCTTGGGTGAGGTGGCTACCCTCTCTGGACCTCAGTTTCCTTGCCTGTAAAATGGGGGTGGCTTAAATCCCCCTCCGTGCCTTATAACACATGCCCCATGGGCAGTAGGACTTGGGGAAGTCAGCCATGGCAGGATGGGAGGGAGCCAGGCGGCGGGGAGGGGTGTCAGTGTTGGGCCTACAGGGCCGGGGGAGCCTGCAGGCCTCTGCCCCGCCCCCCGCCCGCCCACCCACCCACCGAGTCAGCTTCTGTGGTGTGTCGTGCCTTCCCGTGTTGTGTGCTGGCTTTGCTTCTCCAGACTCTGTGGCCTCGTAGCTCCTCGCTTCACTGCCCCATGCCCCCCGTCCAGTGCCCTCAATCTAAGAGTTGGGGAGGGGTCTTTGAGGCTGGCCTCCTGCCCACTGGCCCATGCACCCTTGGCTGTCCCAGAGCCTGGTGCTCTCTGTCTCCTCTTAATGACCCTCAGGAGAGGACACGTTCAGGCCAATGGGAGGCCGGGGCCACAGCAGGCACATGCCCCGGCGGGGCCTGGTGGTTCATCCAGCTGAGACAGGCACGGCACCCAGCGAAGCAGTTGCTCACTGTTTCTGATTCCCACTTCATCATGCCCAGAATCGTGGGGTCTTTGCCTCAGTCCCCGCCCCCAAGGAAGCTTCTATACAAACTTCCTTCCTTCTGGGTCCCTGGGTGCCTCCTCAGAGGTGCACGGGGGCTCTGCTGCCCCCAGATGCCTCTGTCGACCCCTCTTCTCTCTGTGTCGGCTCTCTCAGGTCCTTTCAGAACTCTGAATCTGCCTCCTCCTCCATCTCACGCCTCCTAATGGCTGTTTTTGATAAGATGGGTGGTAGAAACAGCTTCCGCCGGGACACCAGGGCCCCATTCACACCTCAGGCCTGTCGCAGTCAGCTCTGTGTAATGGACCTGATTGCATCCTTCTCAAGACCTCAGTTTCCCCAATGCCGTACACCAAGCCCTAGTCATTCTCCACTGGGGAAGCCGGGTGGCTCTGCCCCCACCCACAAACCCTCGCCCCCTTCTGCCCCCATCAACCACAGCTCTCACTGGCCCTGAAGTGACTCCTTGGTTCTAGACCTTGGATTTGGCATCTCATGTCTGAGGAGGAGGTCGCGTGGAAGGGGGGGATGGGGATGTGGGCGTGTGGGTGGGCTGGAGGGTGGGGGCACATCTGATCCACCGCCACGGCACCTCTGGTGAGTTGTAACATGTTCATGACTTCGACTGACTGGTCTTCGTCTAACCTGCTTATTTCTCTGCCAACACCTGGGATGGGGGTTTGTACGTCTGGCAGGGCTCAAAAGAGAGAGTGGGGTTAGCAGGTGTGGGATGGGGAGGGGGTGTGGCCTTTAGCAGGGGTGTAAGAAGGGAGGGGGCCTTCTGTGTCCTCAGCCCCCAGAGGCGGGGTCCCCAGCATGAGCCTCCTTCCTTTGGGGGGCAGTTGAGGAGCCAGGTCCGGCATCCCAATCTTTGTCTGGGTCTCAGATGCTTCAAAACTGAATTGAGAAAAGAATCTAGAAAGGCAAATGTATGTCTTGTATGTCGAGGGCAGAGTAGAGGGGGGAAAAAAAAGGTCATTGCTGTTCTTTTTATTTTTTATTTTTTATTTATTTTTTATTTTTGGTTTAAAGAAAAAAAAAACTACGACAAACTATTGCAGCTTTTAGCCTTGGGAAGTCCTCTTTTTACTCTCTGTATCTCCCCTATTTTTTCTCTTCTCCCCATGTCATTGTGTTCCGCATCAAACCCCCTTTACATCCCTCAGAGCTTCGAGAAGGTTGGTGTGTTTTTTTCTTTTTTACTTTCTTTACCCACATTTTTACATTCTGAAAATGACACGCACATACACAAAACACACACAGACACCACACAGACACCATGCAGACATGCGCACACACACACACACACACACACAAAATGAACTAAATAAAAATGGAATGTGAATAAGAAGTAATAAATGCAAAGCAAACAAAACAAAACAAAAAACCGCCAAGTGAGAGCAAAACCCAGAAAGACACGAAAATCTCAGCCGCGCCCAGCCCGGCCCAGGGCCGGTCGCACACATGCGATGCTTGCATTGTGGTCGCCTCTGCATCCCTTGGTGATGTTGTTGCTAAGTTTTTTGCACTCCTCGTCGTCATGGTAACTTGGGCCTGATGCATGCTGGGAGAATGTAAAAATTTCTCTGCATGCTACTCTTGTTGGTTTGGTGAATTCCCAACGCCTTCTGTTGGAGTGTTTCTTGTCTTCCGTTTCGTTTTTCTGTTTTGGTTTTCTTCTTTTTTCTTTTTTCCTTTTTTTTTTTGTTTTTTTGGTTTTGTTTTGTTTTGGGGGGGGAAATTGATTGGTTTGTTGTTTCTCCCCCCACTCCCATCCCTTTCCCCTTGGTTCCCTTCTCCTCCAAAGCGATTTGTCTTTGGTTCTATCTTGTTTCTGTGCTATTTGGTTTCGGTTTCTTGGGCTGAGCTGTTCTGTGGTTGTTCTCAAAAACGCATTGTGATTTAAAAGCCAGTGTTCCTGTCCCAGCTATCATCCAGGAGGGTGGAAGGAGTCCCACAGCTGGGATGCTGGGGCAGAAAGTGACCGCCTTGTAGGCACCTGGGCACAAGGGAGGTAGCACAGATGGATGGTGGGAGGTCAGAGCCTGGAAGGGGTATGTGGGGAGAGCAGCCCAATTTACCTGACCTACTGGCCAGCCCCGTCTTTTCCAGGGCTAGAACCCAAGTACCCACTCCATCATGGCAGCCATATTGGAAGGGAGCTTAAGCAGACATAATCCCATTCTTCCATCTTAGCATGAGACTATTTCTCTCCCTTCCGAGGAACCCCCAAAACAGACATTTGAAGTGCATCTGAACAGGCACCAGCATTTTGAGTTCTCATTAAGTATAGTGACATGTCCAAATATGGATAATGGTCGATTTAAAATGGGGGTGTGGGATGGTGTGGTATCAGCACCATCCTTCCAGGACAAATATATGCTTGACACAGAGTCATCACTCCAAATGGCAGCTGGTGTGGATGGCTTTGTATGCATCCTGGCTGGGAACAGATCTGGAACTGCCCCTCAGAAAATATAGCATGACAGACTTTGGAAGAAATACTTGGCTGGTTATCTGTCCTGGAGCACTATGCCTCTGCCTCATAGGCAGCACTGGCTGCTTTCCTCACTCCTTCTCAGGCTCTGGGCCTAGTCACAGGCATCTTTTGTCCAGCAGCACAGCATGGTCACTTTCTGAGTACCTGAGCATCAGAGCTGGGGAATTCTGGAGAAGACCCAGGGGAGCCTTGGACACAGCCTCTCCCCCGTGCTGCCTCCCCAACTCTGCCTCTGCTTTTCTCTTCCTCTCTCTCTCTCAACTCTCTTTCTCTCTGTGTCTCTCTCTCACTCTTGCAAACCTTCAGAGATGCATGCCCCCATTTTCTGCTCACCCCCCAAGAAAAGGCAAGCCCTTTGGAGGTCTCATTTCAGCCCCAAAGAAAGCCCAATAAACCCCAATAAAATATCTGTTTAGATTTCTAACCACCAGACCCCACCCAGCTCACCGCCCAGCTCAGATGATAGTTGAGGGCAGAGTCCAGCCTGTTTGAGATCACTATTTTTCCCTCTTGTTCCCCATCCACCTTCTCTAAACTACCGAGGATTAACTCCAGAGCCAAGTAGGCAAGACAGGTTTAGGTGTAATAAGAAGGGATTTATTTCTCCTGTCTCCTTATTAACCAAGTGAAAGCTGCCAGTCTGACCCTTAGGGAAACCCCAAAAGAAGGGAGAAAAGGGTCTCCTAGCCCTTCCACCAAAGCTAGGCCTTGGTGAATTGGAACTGAGGGGACTGAGGGTTTCTGAAGACCACTTGGACTTTTTGGTGGTATAGCCTAGTGGTGAGAGCACAGGCTCTGGACTCTGACAGACCCGGATTCCAATCCTACCTCTTCCTCTCCCTAGCTATGTGACTTGGGCCAGTCATTTGATCATTTGGAGTCCCCATTTCCTCACCCAAACAGGAGAAATCATAAATGTGCCTAGCTCACAAAGTAGTTGTGAGGATTCCTTTGAGCTAACACTTGTCAGGCACCCTATGTAGTGAACATATAAAGTTGCCATTAGGATTGTTGTAAGAAAGGGAAGTAAATATTCAAGCAAATGATCTGGGCAAGTCACTTCCCTTCTTTGGGGTCCTCAGTTTCTCCTTTACATACCTCACCTGTCCACTGTTGGAATAATATAGCATATGGGAAACTGCTTTGAAAAGAATCATAGGACAGAAGCTCATTCATTTGCCCAATCCTCATTTTTTACTACTGGTTTTCTGAGCCCATCCCATAATCTCATTTCCTTCTGGCTCCAACCCCATCCCCATGAGATCAGTGGCCTCCTCAGAGCCACAGCTCTCAGCTTCCTCTGTGCCATTCCACCAAAAAGTGCAGCAGCCACAGAAGGGAGCAGTAAAAGCCCAGTTTAAGTATTAGGCTACCCTTGCAGAAAAGTACCAGCCCACCAGCAGAGATAGGCCACCTGGCATGTTCTGGCCTGAAAGCTACAAGGATTTACATTGTTGCCAGAGTAGCCAGTCTCAGGAATTAACTGCAAGGAATACCCCACCCCCAACCTAACTCTTCTTTTATCTGACAATCTCTAACTCTGGGTGATTCAGGTGGTGGAATATTCAGATTTGCCCTTCTCCTGCAATTTATCTCAGTGATCCAAAGGGCAGAGATCAAAACCATGCCCATCTTTTAATGTAGCTGGCAGCTCCACTCCCAGAATTCTCCTGGGGAAGATGATACTCAGGCTTTTGACAAGGTGGGAAAATGATCAGATTACATTCTCCCTGGCTGTTCATTTTCTTTCTTTCTTTCTTTCTTTTCTTTTTTTTTTTTTTTGTCTCTTTAAAATTGTAAGCTTTTAAGGTGTGACTTAGTGGCTAAAAGTGGTGTCTTTACCACCTGTCATAGCCACATAGCATTATTGAACCATGGTGCACGAGACCCATTAAAATGGTGTTCCGCTCACCTGATGCTGTGGAAACTCGAAGCAAGCTGGAGATATCAGAGAGAACTTTCCACCTTCAGGAGACTTAGGATATCTTCACGGTTTTGGAAGAGGCAAATGGGACTGGAATAATTTAACTCAAAGTCTCGGATGCTGAGCTAAGAAACCAGGACTTGGTGCCTGACACCAGTCAGGTCCAGATTGCCTCAATTTCCAGGTCTTCCTCAGAACGTCTTTTTGTGACCCATTCTCAGATCTTTCAGATCAATCCATAGCATGTAATTTTATGGGACAAATTATTTTGAAAATTAAATTTCTAGCACACAAGCCCTATAATTGGTGGATGTGACCTGTAGATGTTCCCCTTACCTCCTGCCCACTGCCCCACCCCCCAAAATGGGTAGATACAAATATTGGGCTCAGAACACCCTTCTCTATCCCCAGAAAGACTTCCATTGGGGTATGTTGGCCAGTTCCCCAATTCCTGCTGACCACACCTGGCCATGTCCCCCCCAATCCAAGTCCCATGACTTGACCCTGGGGTCTAGTGATGTTAGATCAGGACTCAGCCCTTCTCATCCCACCCTCATCCTGGGGGGAGAGGGGGCTCCAGGGGTGGGGAGGTGGGCGACCCTCCATTGGGGCATGGCGGGGAGCCAGGAGGGGGGCGTTCTGCAGGAACACTGAGCTCTAAACACCTCTCGTCTGCTGCCTGACTTACACCCTTTGCATTGCTGTTTCCTCTGTTTTTTGGAGGGGGGAGGTTGGGGGTCGTGAGGGGACAATTAGATTACACCTTGTCATTTGGAAAGCCCCATGTCTCTGGCGGCCACAGCGAGGGGCATGAGGGGAGTCAGCCAATTGGCAAGAACCGGGTGGGATAAAAAAAGAGGAGGGGAGAGAGGGTACCAAAAAATAAAAATTAAAAAAAACATCTATGGTGCTGCAAAACATCCAGCTCAAAATGCCAACTACTTGCCAAGGCTGCTGGTCAGCCCGTGGGCCAGGGGTCCAGCCAGGTCCCTCTGGGCCTTGCACGCTATGTTGGTGGCAGAGGGAGCTGGCGGTGGGAGTGGGGAGCCTAGAGGGAGGGGATGGGGCACGACAGGATGGTAGAGGAGGGGGAGGGGAAGGAAGATGCCCTAGGCAAGCCGAGAGGCGGTGCCCATCCTCCCTGGACCACAGGCTGGGATTCAAAGGAGGGGCCGAGAAATGGGCTTTGGAATTAGGCTTCCAACCCCCTCCCTTCCCCCCGACAGGTGTAATCTAAGCTTAACAAACCCCTTGGAGGCTGCACAACTTCTTGGCATCTCTCCTGCCCTCCCCATACGCATATTCATTTTGGAGTTTGGAGAAGCATCCAGAATCTTCTCTCACCCCAAAATGCCCAGCAGAGCGCCCCCCCTCCCCTCGGAGCTGTGGCTTGCTGGATCGTTGAGATGTCTGACACTGTCGGGTTCCCTACCTAGTGCTTCAATCAGATCACCTCACTTTTGAGTTTCCTTCCCCACCTTCCTCTACCCCCCACCCCAACCCTGAACCCCCTTTTTGGTTTTTGAGTTTCTGCCTCTTCCTGCCTGGGGGAGGGGTCGTCTCCTGGTTGCTTTGACGGTTTTTGAGTTGTTTTTCCATGTGAATCGGGGTTTGAAGCGACCACCCCCCCAACCTGCTACCCCCCCCACCGCCCACCCTTCCGACCCCCTCGCCCACGCGGGTCCCCCTCACTGGGACCCTCCGGCTACTCGGTGACGAGAAGAGCTGGAAACCAGAGCCAGCTGAAGCGTGCTGAGGACCAAGGCTGGTGTGGTCCCCTTATAACCCGCCTGGACCCTCCATTCAGGTCGGTAATTGGGGGCGGAGGTCCCACGGGGCCTCTCCGTCCTGTGGGCTCCGCACCCACCTTATTTTCTAACCTGCACCTCAAGCTTGCAGCTGGGGGTGGAAAGATGATGTGGGTGGGTGTCAGCACCATACGGGGCAGAACACAGCGTCAGCCACCTGCCCTTGCTGGCTGGGAGGATGCCCAGGGGCTTTACAAGGCCCACAGTGGGGGTCTGAGTCACATAGTGCCAGTGGGCATGATCCTCCTCAAACTCGTGGCAAACCAGCCTCTGCCTACAGGTCACTCCTAGAAACAAATGAGGTGGGTGAGAAGCAAGTAGGCAAAGTCTCTTAGGTGTCAGAGAAGCCTTTACAGATTATTAGCAGGCCCATTTAACTGATGGCTGCTGGCCGTATTGGGGATTGCGTGCACTAAAATTACTGTTGCTGATAAATGCCCTCCCACAATTAACTGACTTATAGATAACAACCTTTACAGCAAGTCTTTTACATATTCAAGATGTGTGCTTTGTCTCCACTTCTAAAAAGAGTCAGAATTGCCTTCCAAATTAATACCCCCTAAGGGGAGATATTTGAAAATAAGATCAGAAATGAACAGCACCTTTTGGATGAGATGTTGACCCTTACAGAAGAGATAAGTTGGCCTGACATGTAACCTTTAGATCCTAAAGCTAGATCTTACTCCCTTTGATGTTCCAAAAATCTTTTTGGGTATGAGTCTTTTACTGATGGCTTCTGGGCATTTATTATGAGGGCTGCTGGGTATTATTCAACTGGTGGCTACTGGCCACCAGTAGTATCACCAATAGTTGATAGAGCTGTATGTAGGTGATGGGTACTTTTGCCCTCCTTGGTGTCCTCAGAAGGTGGGGACACACAGGCTCGAAATAGCTGATGCCAGGAAGAGACACCTGGCCATAATCCTTGCTACTCACCGTGATGAGAGAAGCTCATTTTATCTGAGAGGCAGAGACCAGGCAGGCCTGGCTTTGAGCTCTGGCCACCCCACTTCCTTCCTTTGTGACTTCCAGTAGTCCTGTCATATCTCTGAGCCTCTGCTCCCTCACCTGCAAAATGGGCATAAAGATATTTGCCTCTGATACTTAAAGCAAGGCAGGGATTCAATAGAAATTCTTATTTTTCTGTTTTTTTCTTTTCTTTTTTTAAACTGTATTTTATTTTCAGACTCCCTTAAGGTAGAGAATCTATTTGATCTTCCCAGCAGCTGAGAGGCTAGAAGGTAACCTCACCAGTCCCATGCCTGGACTGAGTACCTACTGCGTGCCGGGCACTGCCCCAGTCAAATTAATGCCATTTTCAGCAGGTTACCCAACTGCCTCCACTTTACAGATGAGGAAACTGAGGCTCCAGGAGGATGGGGGTCCTTCTCAAGGCCACAGGGCTCATTCAGCCACATCAGTTTGCCCACCTCTGCCTGGAGAGGTTTTGTGTGGGATTCTGAGTCCTTCAGCAGTTCACTAGTCTGTGCGATTTGAGCTTTGGGACCTCCCATTTGTTAAGCCCTAAAAGGGGGGTGGGGTATCATTGAGAAATGATCTGAGAGGGTCTTTAGAGAGAGGCTTAAGCAGGGCGGGGTTGGTTTGCTCCGAAGGTTGTTTCTCCATGAGGAGCCCACCCCTGTGGCCACCTCGAACCCTGGGCCGAGGCTCTTGAGTGCCGGGCGGAGAGGCCAGATCCTGTGTTCTGCCGAGGGGGCACCTCCCTGGGGAAGCCACAACCTCCTCCTTTCAGACCCCGATTTTCAACCCCACACCCATTCCATGATTTTTTCTTCTTGCTTTTGGGTGTCGTGTTTCATTTCGGAGGGGTTTTTGGTTTGTTTGTGTTTTGGATTCTTTTTCTTTTTTTTTTTTTTTTTGGTCCCCCATTTGTTTTTTCTGGTTTTGTTTTGGACGTCGATGCCGTTTTCTGTCCTTGATTAATTAGCTCCCCCCACGCTCATCCCCCATTGTGCTCCATTTCCATGCCAACGCAGCGTGGCATTGTCCCCTCCCCCCCCCTGTGCCTCGCTGTGGATACCGGCGGCTGGCCTGGACCGTGTCCGCTGGCTGGCCGGACCCCATTCTTCCCCTACTCCCCCACCCTCCTCCCAGCCCTGCCAGAAAGCCATCCCCCCATCCCAGCCCCCCGCTGCCCCTCACCCCCACTCTGTCTGCATGGCCCCTCTGTCACCCCCTGCCACAACCCCTCCCCTCGAGCGGTACCTTTCACTCCCTCCATCCTGTCTCCAGTGTGACTCTGGACTTTTCGTGGGGCTTCGTTTTCCGAAGGGCTGCCAGCTTCCAGACCCTCACATCCACCCCCGTGGAGCCCCCCCTCCTCTTTGCCTCCTGCCCAGGTTCAGGGAACAGGTGTTGGGATTTCCAGTGAGGGACCAAGGCTGGAAGGGAGGGAATTGAGGTTGGTCGTCTTCCTCTCCTTGAGTCCCCTCTTCAGTAAAGTAGGTGAGACCCCCTAAAATCATACCCCGTTAGGCTGCATCCCCCAATACCGGGTGAAAATCCGAGGCAGGTGGGGCTGGTGAGAGTCACGAGCCTGCACTTGGTGGCCCTAATGAGTCATTTAGCTCTGCGGAGCCTCCAAGCCATCATCCATGCAGCTGAAACAAGACTCCTTTACCCACCCAAAGCTGGGGACCTACCCACGTGGCTTGTTTAGGTCCTAAGATGTGACCTGGGCACAACCCCTTTGCAGTGAGGATTTGCTAGGTTAACCTGAGTCCTTCCCACGGCAGTGAAACATCTCGCAAGGGACAGCAGCTTTTGCAAGTTCAGGTGCCCGTTACCCATCTGACTTCCGAAAATGGAGCCCCCGAAATGCGTCCTGCCGCCTTCATGGTCTGCAAGTTCGGGACAGAAGGCTGCATCCACCTCCCGCTAAGAAATGCACAGAACATGTCCCTGTTTTTTCAACGTTCAAGTTCATTCCCTTGTTTATTATTATTATTATTATTATTATTAATATCCTATTTATTCTGCCAGGGCTGTGATGTGACAATGTGGTGTGTCACATTGGGTCACATCGCTAGAATTAATATGCAGCATTAAAGTGGGCCCCCTCCCCCCTCCGTCTTTCTTTCTCTGTCCCTTCCTCTCTCTGTCCCTGTGTTCCTGCTTTTCTCTCTGTCTCTTGGCTCATCTGTCTCCTCTCTGGTTCCCACGTGCGTGTGCACTAGACGTTCTCAAATCCAGGCCTCCCCTTAGCATTCCCTCTTTCTACATCCTTCCTCCCTCTCTCCCTCTCTCTCTCTCTTTCTGTCTCTCTTTCTCTCTGAACCTATTTTGCATGATGTTTGTGACTCTGAGAGCTGCATCTATTGATGGAAACTTGTCAGATCCGACAGAAGCTTTTAGAAGGGTTTCTATACCCAAAAACCACAAAAATTTCATTAGAGTTTCTCATCTTTTCCTTGAGGGCCCCCAGGGAAGTGGGTGGGGCCCTGGAGTCACCCAAGGGGACGAGGGCTGGGGTCCGAGATCCCAGGCTCCTTCTGCCTCTATGATCACCCCTGTCCCCGTCACCAGAGAGCCAGGGAGGGTCTCCGAAGTGGCTGTCCCTCACTCTCGGGAGCAAACGGCGTGGGGGGTGGGGGGCTGCTCTCTGAAGCCACGTCCATCAGCAAAGATGAGAAACCACTGATAAATTTTTGTGTCTGTATCTGTGCTGTGATCAGCCACTCTGGTCTATGAAACCCTGTCGCTATGAAATAATGCTTCATGTCTCTTGATTATATATTGATATATCTCTCTATATATTGTTTGTGAAGTACCTTCTTTTGAAGTTTTTGGTTTCTTTGTGTTGGAATTTGGTTTTTTGATTTGGCTTTTTTGTTTGTTTTCTTTTCATTTGGGGGGAAAAATCAATTGGGGGAAAGGAAACAGCCTTGTTTATATTTAAATTGTTTTCCACTTTTTTTTTTCCTTTTTTTCTTTCTTTCCTTCTTTCTTTCTTTCCTTCCTTCTTTCTTCCTGCTTTTCTTTCTTTTTCCTCCCCACTCTGTCTCCCCACCCCTTCCACCCATCCTCCTCCCTCGCTCCCTCCCCCCCCTCCCCAGTCCGACGTGTGGCTCCTCGTTTTTCCATCTTGCCCATGAGCCACGAGATCATGCCAGGGGGCAACGTGAACATCACCTGTGTGGCCGTGGGCTCGCCCATGCCCTATGTCAAGTGGATGCAGGGGGCCGAGGACCTGACGCCTGAGGATGACATGCCCGTGGGTCGGAATGTGCTGGAACTCACGGACGTAAAGGACTCGGCCAACTATACTTGCGTGGCCATGTCCAGTCTAGGCGTCATCGAGGCAGTGGCCCAGATCACAGTGAAATGTAAGCAGGGTCCACAGGGCGCGGGGTGGTGGCAGTGTGGGCTGGAATGGATCCCCAACTCCAGGTGCAGATGGGAGGCAGAGTTGGAAAACCGCTGAGTTCTCGCTTTGGCTTTGGTCATTCATGACTGTGAAGAGGGCAGCTGTTCTTTGAACAAATATTTACTGGTTATGAATTATTCTGGGTCAGGCTCTGTGCTCTATTGAGCTCACAGGCCAGTGGGGGAGACACCCGTGTAGCCAGGCAGCGGTAATAGGGAATCATTAGAGCTGTGACAGGGGGTACAGAGCCCATCAGATCCCTACAGTAAAGGTCCCATCTCCCATGATAGTTAGGTCAGGGAAGGGGACGTCTCCAGTGAAAGACTAAAGGTTGAACAGGAGTGAGCCAGGCAAAGAGAATGAGGAACAGTGTTCGGGGAAGATGGAACAGCCTGTGCAAAGACTCAGGGAGTCTGGGGGGAGGAAACAGGTGATCATAGGTTCTCTCTCCTGATGTCTCAAGTTTGTGGTGAGATTCAGAGAAGGGTGCCCTCATAATATATCTTCGACGTTTTAGAGCAAGGGCCAACAAACTACAGCCTGTGGGCCAAATTTGGCGCTCCACTTATTTTTTATAAATAAAGTTTTATTGGCACACAGCCATGCCAGTTCATTTACACTTTGTCTGTGGAAGCTTTTGGGCTGCCATGGCAGAGCTGAGTAGTCTTGACAGAGACAGCCTGGCTTGCAAAGATGAAAATATTTACTGTCTGGCTCTTTGCAGGAAGAGTTTGCCAAGCCTTGCCCTAGGGCTGTAGAAAGTATCAGCCTTGGATGGTTTGCTGGTTATTTTCCTGAGGATTGAACTTCTCTGGCAAATGCTTCCTGGGGCCAGTGTCACGTGAGGTCTTGGGACAAGTGGGAGAGAGAGTCACAGCAGATGTGAATGGAGCTCAGCCCCCGCTGGTGGGGAAAACACACAGATGGAAAGTGAGATAACCCTAGACAGACGGTGAATTGGGCATGGGCGCCTCTAGCCAGGGTGATGAGGAGACCTTGTGGAAGGACGTTTGAGAAAGAGCCAGCCACACAGCTGTCTGCGGGTGAAACAGGGAACAGCAAGGGTGAAGTGGGAACAGACAGAAAGTGAAATTGGCTGAGCAGAGTGAACCACAGAGAGCTCTGTAGACTGGGGCTGTGAATGTTTCTTTAAACAGTAAATATTTTTCTGAAAGAGCAAATATTTCTCTTAAAAAGTAAACATTTTCAGCTTCTCAACTGTGCCATGGAAGCATAAAAGCAGCCTTCAAGGGCTGGCCCTTGGCTCACTTGGGAGAGCGTGGTGCTGACCACACCAAGTCAAGGGTTAAGATCCCCTTACCGGTTATTTAAAAAAAAAAAAAAGCAGCCTTCAATAATATGTAAGCATGGTTGTGTTCCGATAAAACTTTATTTAAAAAATCGGGTATTGGGCCGAGCCCGTGGTGCACTTGGGAGAGTGCAGTGCTGGGAGCGCAGCAGCGCTCCCGCCGCGGGTTCGGATCCTATATAGGGATGACCGGTGTGCTCACAGCGCTCACTGGCTGAGCGCGGTGCGGCCGGGCTCAAAAAGGACAAATAATAAATAAATAAATAAATAAACACATCGGGTGTCAGGCTGGCCGGTTAGGTCACACAGAGCACAGTGCTGATAACGTACCAGCCAGCCACCAAATAAAAATTAAAAACAGGTGCCAGCCCTTGGGCTGTAGTTTGCCAGCTGTTACTGTAGATGATAAAATGGGGTCTTTAGGCTTGTGGTTACTGCCAAGGAAATCAAAGCTCAGAGAGGGCAGTTGTGTGTCCAGAAGTCACACAGCCTTCGGGGTCTTCAACCAGTTCATCCAATGTGTGACCCTGCCCCCCACCCACAGCTCTCCCCAAAGCCCCTGGGACTCCCATGGTGACAGAGAACACAGCCACCAGCATCACCATCACGTGGGACTCGGGTAACCCGGACCCTGTGTCTTATTATGTCATCGAATATAAATCCAAGAGCCAGGACGGGCCGTATCAGATTAAGGAGGACATCACCACCACGCGCTACAGCATCGGTGGCCTGAGCCCCAACTCTGAGTACGAGATCTGGGTGTCGGCCGTCAACTCCATTGGCCAGGGCCCCCCCAGCGAGTCGGTGGTCACCCGTACGGGCGAGCAGGCGCCAGCCAGCGCGCCGCGGAACGTGCAGGCCCGCATGCTGAGCGCCACCACCATGATCGTCCAGTGGGAGGAGCCGGTGGAGCCCAACGGCTTGATCCGTGGCTACCGTGTCTACTACACCATGGAGCCCGAGCACCCCGTGGGCAACTGGCAGAAGCACAATGTGGACGACAGCCTGCTGACCACCGTGGGCAGCCTGCTGGAGGATGAGACCTACACCGTGCGCGTGCTGGCCTTTACCTCCGTGGGCGACGGGCCCCTCTCGGACCCCATCCAGGTCAAGACGCAGCAGGGAGGTGAGACGTGGGAACGTTAGGATTCGGGGCTACAGCAACCAGGAGCGCGGGGCTATAGCATGCAGTGACCGTGCCCAGCATCTGTCTGGTTGCTCCTTGGAAGCTGCGAAGCAATTTATGCATCCCACCTGTGCTTTAAGATATCTTCATGCTAGTGTTGAAAATCAGGGAGTTGTCCCAGAAAGTCCAAATTTTTGGCTTCCCTTGGAAAATTCGACATGGCAAGCCACTGGGGCAGCGATCGCACGTCCAGATGGATCCCAGTGGCTGTGTTTGAGACAAGGGTGTGGTGTCCTCGCACCTTCCCGTTCTCTGTTTAATCCCTGCCCCCGTCGGTGTTTGAGTCTGAGAACCCCGATCTGCTGCTGCCTCTTGAGAGAGCGGTGCTGCCTCTTGAGAGAGTGGTGCTGCCTCATTTGAAATACAGGTTGAGCATCCCTAACCCGAAAATCTCAAATCCAACATGCTCCAAGATCTGAAAATTTTTGAGCGCCGACAGGACACTCAAAGAAATGCTCCTTAGAACATTTCAGATTTCAGATTTTCAGATTAGGGTTATTCAGCCAGTTAAGTTTCTATAAATATTCCAAAATCTGAAATACTTCTGGTTCCAAGCATATTGGGTAAGGGATACTCAACCCACAATAAATGAAAGATGCCTCGACCCTCTGTCAGTGGGCTGGTCCCCCTCCCTGCTCAGGTTGAAGGATCCGGGAGGGCCACTGAGGCACGTGGGACCCCAGCTCTCTGCAGGTTCTGACCTTCTACTTTGGGGCTCAGGTTCTCAAAACCCAAAATCCAAGAGGACTCAGGCACCTGCCTAAGCAAAGGGACGGGATGGTTGGAGCTCTGTCTCTGTGTGGCAGATATAGGATGGAGATCCATATTTTAAAATATGCCCACCCACCCCACCCCCCATTTCTCAGTCACTTAATTTGTAGGGGGTGAGGATGGCACTGGAGTGATTGGAGAGATGGATTTTTAAATGTTTCTCTCCATTGGAAGAAAAGAGGGTGGGGGGATTGAGGTGGACAAGTGACATCAAGGGAAGATAGGGGGTTCCCAAGAAAATAAGAGAGATAACAGTGGGAGAACAATCCAGAAACATCCAGAGCCGAGCAGCCCTTCCTTCAAGGCAGTGCTGGGCTTCTCTTTTTGGGAGAGCGGGGACCCCTGACAGGTTGGGCACCCTTCATGGGGTGGACCCCCCTCCATGACTGTCCGTCTCCCCGCTTTCCTTCCCTGCACCGCCCCCAGTGCCAGGCCAGCCCATGAACCTGCGGGCAGAGGCCAAGTCAGAGACGAGCATCGGGCTGTCGTGGAGCCCCCCGCGGCAGGAGAGCATCGTCAAGTACGAGCTCCTCTTCCGGGAAGGCGACCACAGCAGGGAGGTGAGGTGGCCCGGCAGGGAGGGGCGGGGACCAGGCTGGCCTCTACCCCCTGCCCCCGCGCTGGCCTTCTCCGGGTGTCCCTCTGAACCTCTGTCCCCGACTGTCTCTCTCCCCCTTCTCCCTGCCCCTACTGATTGCTGATTTTTCCCTTTCACACTCCCTTCTGTTTCTGTGTCCCTCGGTGTCCCTGTCCTTTCTCCCCGCTTGCCTCTCTGCGCACCTTTTTCTCTCTCTTTGCTCTCCTGTGTCTGTCTCTCTCTGTCTCCATCTGTCATTATTGGTGTCACTGTCTCTCTTTATCTCTGTTTGTCTCTGTCTTTGCTGCTGTTGGCCTCTCGGCCTCTGTCTCTGTGTATGTGTCTCTCTCTGACTCTATCTCCCTGTCTCTCTCTGTGTCTCTGCTTATCTCTCTGTCTCTGTCCTTCTGTCTCTCTGTCTCTGACTCTCTGTCCCCTCATCCCTCTTCTCTCCACACCCCCATCCTCCATGCCCCCAGGTGGGGAGGACCTTCGACCCGACGACCAACTTCGTGGTGGACGACCTCAAGCCCAACACGGAGTACGCCTTCCGCCTGGCGGCCCGGTCGCCACAGGGTCTGGGCGCCTTCACCTCGGTGGTGCGGCAGCGCACGCTGCAGTCCAGTAGGTGTCTCGCGGGGCCACCCTTCTCTGCGGGGGGGACCCGCGGCCCAGCCACACACGGCCCCTCCGTGGACTGACCCAGGTGGAGCCTGCCACGGGGGGTGCGGGGCACCTCTGGGCCGGTCCCCACTTTACTCTTAGGCCTTGGACACGTCCGCCCATGCTGTGCCTCAGTTTCCCCTCCAGTGCAGTGAGGGTCTCTGTGTCCCTGGGCCTGGTGGTCTGGATCGAGACTCGAGGAGGAGAAGGGGCTGATTTTGCCCCTAGTTCAGGGGGTGTTGCTGAGGCACCTCCTCTCTCCTCCCCTTCTCCTGGATTGGGGGCTGAGGGAACAGCCTTGCTACCCCCATTTCCCAGGAGTTTTGAGGGGTGCAGTGAGGCTGGAGTCGCAGCCAAACCCCATCGTTCTCAGAGAGAGCAAAAGACACAGACAAACCATCTCCCCAGTGGCCCTTCCTTCCCTGGGCAGGGAACCATGGCTCTTAAGAACCCAGGACAAGGTCCCCAATTGCTGAGGGTGGGGGAGGGGCAGGTTCGGTGTCAATGCCAGGTTTTGGGTGGGGAGGGGGTGCAGCCCCAGTTAGGGGCTTTCAGATTCCTGGAGTTCTTTGCTGTGCCCGCCCGGCCTCCCTGCCGCAGACAAGTCACCCTAGACCCGACAGCTGGCTCTGGGCCACACTGTGGCCCCTGCTGCTGCCACCGCCACCCTCTCTGCCTGCTTCAAGCTCGGACCTAGGCAGGACCCTTCTGCTGTCTCCCTGCCTCCCCCACCTCCCTTCACCCCCTCCTCTCCTCTCAGCCTATCCCCAGGTGACCTTCCTGCCAGGGTGGGCTTCCCGCCGTGGTCCCCTCGCACTCCATGCCTCCCCCCCTTCTTGGTCAGTCACCCCAGGCTTTGTTCCAGAAGCAGCCGCCGTGTCCAAACCTTCAAGCCCCCTGGGTGTGTGCACACAAGGGGGTCTCGGGTCAGTCGGGGTGACATCAACTCGGGCCGGGGCATCTGAGCCGCTGGGATCAGGGGCCTTGGAGACACACAACCTCCCGCCACCTCCCCCCAGCTCCCCATCCCTCCTTCCCATTCCCCTCTGTGCCGAGCCGAGCTGAGCGCTCAGCAGCTCAGGGTGTCCGGGCGTGTCTGCATAAGGTGGAGTCAGTGAGGGTGGCCCGTGGCTTGGGTGGCCACCCGAGAGACCGGCAGAGGTGCCGCAAAGGTGAGTACACGCCGGTCTTGAGTAGGTTCACAAAGACGGCCCACCCTGCGTGCCCCCCGCCCACCCTGGCAGCTCTGGACTGCACCCCCAGTCCACAGCCCAAAGCCAGCCCCCGAAACACTCCCTCCAACCACGCTGTACACGTGTGGCTGTTTTTCTGCACACACCTGCCCCGTCCCGTCCTGAGACATCACGCAGGTTGGGCTGGATTGTGAAGGACGCGACCTCCAAGGTCACCTAGAGAGTGGCTTCGGCCCAGCCACGTGAACCTCCGGGGCGGCCCAGGACAGGGAATGGGGGACAAGAGACTCCCCGCTTCTCACCCCGAGACGGGTGGGACCCAAGAGAACTGGCAGCAGAGACTCAGGGCCAGGCGTATCCCCCCGGGGGCTGTGGGCTCCTTAGGCTGAACACAAGGGTAGGTGGAGGCCAGACCACTCAGCCGTGGGTCTCCCCCGACACGTCCCACCCTCCTGCCTCATTGGCGCCAGCCCAGAACTGCAGTGGCCACGCTGGTGACCGGAGACCCACCAAGAGTTGGGTCTGGCCTTGTAGCTGAGCACTCCGCCGTTCCCTCCCTCGTAAGAAAGTCTTATAAGTTAGCAGTTGAAGAGTGGAAGGTAGGTAACCAGACTGGGAGTTTTCTGGAAGGCGCCTTTCTTTCTTTTATTATGGTTTTTCTCATCATCATCACCATCACCGTTGTTTCTTATTTTATTATGGTTTTGGTTTTATTTTGCCTCCCCCTTTCTCAGCAAATCCATTCCTTCCGGAACATTCCTTGGTTGATTTTTCCGTTCCTGCCTGATTCCCACCCCACCCCCTCCAGGGCACTTTTGGTTGGGGTGGCTGGTCAAGAAATGGGGGAGGGGCCTCCTGTGTCTAGTTTTAGGGGAGGGATCTCCAGTGTTTCACTTACAGTGAGGCCAAGGGGTCATTCTAGTTGAAGTAAGCTATTGAGGTGGCTTCCAGTGTCCCAATGTTCTTGAGGACCCAGAGCTCGGATGGGTCTCTGAGTCTCAAAGCCTAGCACAAGGGTGCATACGTAGTAATTCCTCAATGAACACCTGCTTGACAAATGAAGCTGGCATAATGGTGACAGTTTTCACTACCTTGACATCAAGCAAGGCTCATCACCTCCCTGGGCCTCCCTCCAGGTGGTGCAGGTCTAAAGTGGGCAGGCAGTGTGGGAGTCCGCAGCTGGTGCAGGCTGAGGTCTGAGCTTCCAACCCCAAGCCAAGACAGCCCATGAACAATGGCTAAATCTGGGGGCAAATCTGGACTTTGTCACCTCCTCACCATGTGCCTTTGGGCAGGCAACTTGCTATATCTGATCCTCAGTTTCCTCACCTGTAAAATGGAACCCACCCCACTTCGGGGTTTCCAGAAGGATTTAGAGAGGCGATATTTACGTCATGCCTCCAGGATAGGTCCAGGCACCCAGTAGTTACACAACCA